AAACAAAAGAAAAAGACAAAGAAGCAGCCGAACTAGCAATCCTCAACAACTTTTTAAAGAATCAGCCGAACTAGCAATCCTCAACAACTTTTTAATTTTTACACCAGGAGCTACAGGTCTGTTTCAGGAAATCACATCCCCAGCGATCGACTGTTGTAGGATTAAACTGTACAAGGGTTCACACACCGATAGTTGGCAGTGTTGTGCATATATTGGACATGAATTGTTGCCAGCTAGTAAGTGTGAAATTGAACTTGAGCTTTAAAATTAGCTTCCGCTAGTTTTTCTATGTGTTTTTGAAGTTGCGGACCTAAATATTTTTATAAGCGCTTTAGAAATTGCGGAGCTAATTTTTGGATTTTTGGATTAGCGCTGCCCACCACTGTTTGTAAAATAAAATGTCAAAAACATGGATCATTTCCTTTTTACTTCAGAATTATGAGCTACTTCCTGCTAGTGTGACTGAATATTTAAGGTACAGTTAGTCTAACCTCCAGTTTACACTGCGTCTGCTCCGSTCCAACCTCCACAATAAAAGCTCACCTGTTCAAATCAATGATTTGGTTTACATTGCAGGTGTGTGCACGGCCATCTGCCAAAATTAGATTTGATTCTATTTTTGCTGCCTGGAGAAGCAAGTTCAGAACTAATGTACAAAGAGCACACCACGCTAACAGGAAAAGGAAAGAGCACAACATCCATATTTTAAAATAATTCACCTAAGGCWGACTACATTTTGTCAGAGTCTTAGTTTTCTTAATAAATATATGGATATATTTATGCACACATGCTGTCAGACTTTATCATTGTTTGGGAAGCAGATGGCAACATGCAGCGTGCAGCATAYGCACACACAAAACGTGTGGCTTTTATTTTGAATTATGGATTCAGTCATGCTGTTTCAACTGTTGTTTCCAGYCAGTCTTCCTCAGAATGAATTCGTTTGGTCTGTTTTCCACATTTCTCACTAGATTTATTGCACAATCWCACATTTCCTGCACATACGTCTTTGTGCAGAGCGGCACACAGTAGAAACTGGGGGGGTGGTCCGGGCCGGGGTCTCTGTGAGATTACGTTGGTGAGGAAGTGTTGTGTTGCTGCCTTCAGGGTCCAGGGATCGAGGCAGTGTGACCAGTCTGAGCAGCGACTTCTCCCTCATCACAGAGGAGGTGGGTGGTGCTGCCTGCCCCACAGCTGACACTGTGGACCTGCTCTCCAACCAACCCCAGACGTGGTTAGTCTCACACACACACACACACACACACACACACACACACACACACACAGTTCTATGCACTGTTCATATACCATGGTACTGTAGAAATTGAGGAAAGCTCAAAGGTAGTAAATAATTCTCTTCATATAATTTTTGTCAGATCTATCACTAAACAAATCTTCATGTATTATACAAAGTTAAATAAACTTCAGTAAGTGAGGAGGAGGTTAAACACCAAAGTGTTTTTAAATGGATGTTCAAACTCTTCCTCCTCAGGAGAAAAGTGCCCGCCTCCTCTCCTTCCATGGCTGTTTGGTACAAACAAAGTGCTTTAGATGAGCAGTTCTTCCATCCTGCCACCGAGGCCAAGTCTTCCAGCTCCTCCTCRTCCAACCAATCAGAGAATGGGGTCACACGCTCTGGCAGCAGCCCATTGGCTGTCCCCAGTCGAAGGTGAGTGAGAGAAAATGTCTCAGGCCACTGAGGGAGCCTGGCTGCAGCTGACAGGAGGAAACCTCCAACCACCAGAAATGAAACATCAAATTACAACTTCCTCTGCAGGTCTGGAGGTCASGTGTTGAAGGTGACAGACTGAAACTGACTTCTGAACCACTGGATGGATTTTTATAAAACTTGCACTTAATGTACGTCTTTACTGTCATGCCTAATTCAAGATGGCTGCCACCGCCAGCTGACCTTGACTGTAACTCAGTCAGTTTCACWGATATTGAGCTAAAGTTTAATGTGGTGCCAGCTGAGACACATCCTCAATACATACTCTGAATGCTAGGCATTTCATCTTCACAACTTTTTTAAATAAACTTACAAAAATGSCTTGTGAAGATGTGGCAGGGGAGAGGGAAGACTGGTGCCCCCACGACCTGACACCGGGTAAGAAGAAAAGGGATAGATGAAGTACAAAAAATAAGTAAATTAGTGTTTGGTAGATTTTTTTGTTTTTGTTTTAACAATGCTTTTTGGCAATACATTRTATATTGTTGGAAAGCCTGTTATTTTCCSTTTTAAAAGGTGCCACATTTGTAAGGAACATGCATTTGTGTGATGAGCAGTAGAGCTGAGTATGTGGGTTTCACACTCATTTGTTGTTGCTGTTGACTCTTGTTTGGAGCTTCTGGTACCCCCAGGTTCTGCCAATCAGGTTATATGATTTATTCTAACAACAAAGACACAATCTACCAAACTCTAGTTCTCTTACTTTTTGTGCCAGGTTTATATTTTTCAGTTGGGTTGTACAGAATATGTCGCAGTAAACAATATGAATAATTCATCAGTTTGCGTTTTTTTTCATCACAGATTTGAACAAAGTATGAAGTCTGTTTTTATCCACTATAAATGATGCAAACATGTAGCTCCAGTCATGCTCTGTGCTGTTTATGAGAGAATATTCTTGTTTACATAAAGCTTTAGTTTGAACTAGCCTCCCTCAGGTGTAGGTAAATAAAAATAAAGTAACATTTCTTGTTGTGTCTGTTAGAACCAGAGGGCCGGGTGTGGTTTTTAAAAACAGATCACATACAAACCTACTAATATAACACTGCAGACCACCCTTCMTTCCAATGAGCAGAGGCCTGTTGTTAGCCCATTAGCATTAGCGCCATGTTTGGTGCCATCATTAACTCTTGGTGTCTGTGCGTYAACTTTGGGTCTCAGGTTAGCAGCAGACTGCGCCCGCTCAGGATCCTCCCTATCCACAGACTATGGCAGCTGGCAGATAGTTTCTGGGTGTGGCAGCATCCATGACCACGCCCACTTTCATCAACCTCTGGCCTCAGCTTCCTCCAACTCATCTGCTGTGGCCTCTGCCCCCAACTCCCCCCTCCCCTTCAGTTTTCAGGATGAAGGGCCCAGTGGACGAATGTAAGTCAAACCAGACGAGCTCTGCATCTCTGTGTGTTGTGTAAAAAATGAAGCAGAGTTAGCTTGATGTTAGCAGGGTTAGAAGGGTTAGATGAATGTTAGCAGGGTTAGCTGGATGTTAGAATGGTTAGCTTGATGTTAGCAGGTTTAGAAGGGTTAGTTGAATGTTAGCAGGGTTAGATGAATGTTAGCAGGGTTAGATGAATGTTAGCAGGGTTAGCTGGATGTTAGAATGGTTAGCTTGATGTTAGAAGGGTTAATGTTAGCAGAGTTAGAAGGGTTAGATGAATGTTAGCAGGGTTAGCTGGATGTTAGCAGGGTTAGCTGGATGTTAGAAACGTTAGCTTGATGTTAGCAGAGTTAGAAGGGTTAGATGAATGTTAGCAGGTTTAGATGAATGTTAGCAGGGTTAGCTGGATGTTAGCAGGTTTAGCTGGATGTTAGCAGGCTTAGAAGGGTTAGATGAATTTTAGCAGGTTAGCTGGATGTTAGCATGTTAGCTGGATGTTAGCATGTTAGCTGGATGTTAGCATGTTAGCTGGATGTTAGC